CTCTCCCCCATGTTTCCCCTCTCTCTCTCTCTCCCCCCATGTTAATGTAATTGACTGATTAGTGATATTATTATCGCTCTGGATCCAGGAATAACCCAATAAACACAATGAACCCCGGACTCACCCTCCGCTCCCAGCAGCCCTGCTCGGCACAGTATGAAATCACTGAGGGCAATGCCGAGTACAGGCTACAAGCATCTTAATAAGGAAATCCTGGAATGGAAATGACATCACTGAGATTGACCCTCCCGGCGCCATGTTGGATGATGAGGGCAAGGCTCCTATTAATCACTAGGAGCAGTATGGGCAATAGACACACATTAGTTCATTGATTTCAGTCACATTGGGCTCATTGTGCTCCAATAGAATTTATATCCCAACACCAGTGATATTGTAAGAGCTATATTATCATTTATATTGCAGGGCTGATACCAATAACTTTATTAGTATTTGTAAAACATTCATAATAAACATTTCATTACATTTAATGTGATACATTAGAAACGTTACTTTCCTATTAGAGAAACTCCTTATTTTGATATAATTACTTATGGCAATCTCAGAGTAGGAATACCAAATTAGGGAGCTATCTACTAAATAGACGTTTTATAAACATTTAACTTTCAGCTGTTTAGTAGATAGCTCCCTAATTTGGTACCTTGCGTGGGATTGCCATATTTAAAGATATAAAATTAGAAAGCTGTTTAGTAGATTCCTGTAGTATTTGGTACATTTAAATATGGTGATCCCATTATGGGTATCAATTTAGGGAGCGTTCTACTAAACAGCTGAGAATAAAATTAAGAAAAAAACTATTCTCTTAAAGGGAAACTCTACTTGCTGAAAAGATAGCTATTTGTTGCGCAAACTCTCCGTTCGAGCTGCTATACGGGCGCAAGGTGCGGGGCCCCCTGAACCTTATCCGTGAGCACTGGGAGGGAGAGACGGAGAACGCCGGAGTCCCCATCGTACCTTATGTGCTGGAGCTTAGGGACCGCATGGAGCAACTAGCCAGGTTGGTCCAGGCTAACCTTCAGGCGGCCCAGAGGCGACAGAAAGTCGGGTATGACGGGGGGCACGGCGGAGGAGCTTTTGTATAGGACAAAAGGTTATGGTGTTCAAACCTGTTAAAGCAGACAAGCTGCAAGCAGCCTGGCAGGGACCTTACGTGGGGACACTACGTACGTGATTGCTAGCTGCCACGATGAGAACCTGCGAAAGATATTCCACGTCAATATGCTGAAGGAATACCTAGAGAGACTACCCGGATGACATAGCGATCCATAGTGAGTCCTGGGAGGAACACTTAGCACATGTAGGAATGGTCCTGGATCAGATTCGGGCCTGACTCTAAAGCCAGAGAAATGCCATTTTGGAATGGCTGAGGTGCAGTACCTGGGTCACCGAGTGGGATGCGGGAAGCAGCGACCGGAGCCGGCTAAGATAGAGGCGGTCGCGAATTGGCCCACAACACACACTAAGACCCAAGTCTCTTGAACCGTTCTAGATGAAGAAATAGACAACTTAAAAGGAATTCTAACACCATATTTAGAACTTACAGATTGCATTTAATTAATGGAGAGGATAGAAAAAAAGTTGGAAAAATCTTTTGAAGAAACGATTAACATCAAGAAAAAGAAGTTTGAGAGGGGCCAACAAGATTTTCAGGAAAATAGGGTAAGGAATTATCACAAAAAGGAAGAGACACGTGATAATCAATTCCCACCCCTTTACAGTAGACGTATAAAGAATGGGAAAAGGGGGACACGTAACCTTAATTGGACAGATAATAGATCGGATTATGATCATTATCATCAAGAGAAAGCTCAATCCAAGTTATCCAACCCTACCCCTAAAACACCCAGGGAGAAAGGTTAGCTGGTAACTAACAAGAAACGGAGGAATTCATCTAATTTTGAACATAGGGCACCACAACAACAACAGAAAAAACTCCCCAAATTGGGAAGAGTGTCAAACAGATTTGAGGTTTTGGCGCCAACAGAGGATGTTGTACATAAGTCGAATAATCAATTTAACTCTACAGGGGAGAAAGATTTTTTTAGGACCCCGCCAAATGTTTACAAACCATTGCCCACACAATATAAAACCAAAAGAATGGTTCAAGAGACCGTTCAAAGGGGATGTAGAGGAGGCAGACGAATACAGAGAAGGAAAGAGAATAACATGGTAAAGCCGGTGGGCATTTTCAATTTATCTAATATCTCATTATCATCTAACCAAATTAAACTTTTAAATAAAATTTTGAAATATGCCCCTGCTGTAAAGTCCGATCCTTTCCTAATTTTTTTAGATGTCCAGAAATTTATGAGGACACTAAATTTGAAACGCTTCTTCTTGAACAACCCCATCAACAATTCCATTGCTAATAGTGGACAAGATAATCATTTTCTCCACACAGATATTAAGCAAAAATCCAAATTTTGTCCCCCAAACCCACTGAGTGCACATATGAATGCGTTCAACATAGCAGTATTGGAAGACTTAGAGAGAATTCCTGATAAAATCCCTAATAGGCAGCACAACCTTACAGTAGAGGAGAGGAAAGCCTTAAAAGAGCTGAGGGATTACAAAGACCTAATAATTAAACCCGCTGATAAGGGTGGGGGAACTGTTCTAATTAGCGTGGATTATTATGAAAAGGAATGCCTTAGACTGTTAAGAGATGAACATACATATAAATCACTTAATAGAGATCCTAGTATGGAATTTCAGAAAGAATTAAGTTCACTCTTGGATAGGGGGAGGCAGGTGGGAATCTTGACTAAGAAAGAATATGATTTTGTTTTTAATTTACACCCTAGAAGGGCTGTTTTTTACTTTCTTCCAAAGATTCACAAACACATGACGGAACCACCAGGCAGACCGATTATTTCGGGGATTGGGTCCCTGACTTCTAACCTATCCCAATATATTGACATATTATTACAACCTTCAGTCAAAAATACAAAATCATATCTAAGGGACAGCAGTGAATTACTTCGTTTACTAGAGGGTATAATCTGGAAAAAGACATACTGGCTAATGACATGTGATGTTACATCACTTTATACAGTCATCCAACACGAACTAGGATTGAGAGCTGTTAGAAACATTTTGTATAAAACCTCAGAATTACAGATGGAACAGATCGAATTTGTGGTGCAATGTATAAATTTTATCCTCACACATAACTTTTTTTGGCATAACGATGAGGTTTTTTTACAAGTCAAGGGGGACCAGGTTCGCACCCAGTTACGCCAACATGTTCATGGCGCACTGGGAGAACACACATATATGGAGTGGTCATCCATGGGTTGCGAACCTGCTTCTATATAGAAGGTATATCGATGACTGTTTTTTTATATGGGAAGGGGAGGAAGAAGAGCTCTCCATGTTCCTACAACACATGAATAATAATACGTGCAACTTATCCTTCACTTCTAAATACAGTCTGGACAGTGTTGATTTTCTAGATTTAGTTCTTTATGTAGAAGAACAAAAACTGAAGTCTAAA